TCAGACACCGTCCCTGACATTTAGGAGGTAAGGAGAGCGTGTAAATCAGTACAAAACATGGAAGAGGGACCAAGGTCACGGTGCAATGCCAGTGGGGCACAGAACAGGCAGGGGACACCGCTGCCATCCCACCTCCCTCCCTTGGGGGAAGGCTGTGTGCAGAGCTGCCAAGGGCAGACAGGGGTTCTTTTAGAAACTGGCGGAAGCAGGAGTTTTCTTCTGATTCTGTTTTGTTTTGTTCTGCTTTGAGATTGGGTCTTGTTATGTGGCCCAGGCTGACCTGGCTCCCCTGGGCTCCTGCAATCCTTCTGCCCCAGCCTCCTGAGTAGCTGAGACTACAGGTGTGCTACCATGCCTGGTTTTATTTTCTGATTTTCAAAGGAGCACAAGCCAGGCAGGCACAGTGGTACACACCTGTAATCTCTGCACTTGGGAGGCTGAGGTAGGAGGATCTCGAGTTTGAGGCCAGTCTGTGCTATATAGCAAGTCCCAGGTCAGCTTGTATGTAACATGGAGGAACCCTGTCTCAAAAAAAACAAAACAAAACAGCTGGGCGCTGGTGACTCAGACCTGTAATCCTAGATACTCAGGAGGCAGAGATCAGGAAGATGATGGTTCAAAGCCAGCCTGGGCAAACAGTTTGCAAGCCCCTATCTTGAAAAAAAACCTTTCACAAAAAAGGGCTGGTGGAGTGGCTCAAGGTAGAGGCCCTGAGTTCAAATCCCAGTACTGCAAAAGAAAGAAAAAAGCACATGTCTAAGAAGGACTCCAATTTCCCTACCATGTTTCCATATTTATTTATTTATTTATTGGTGGGACTGGGTTTGAACTCAGGGCTTTACACTTGCAAAGCAGGTGCTATACCGCTTGAACCACACCGCCAGTCCCTTCCCACCTTACCGTCTTTGCATCCCTTGCTTCTCCTGTCCGAGAGAGGCTGTCTGGCAGTGGGTTTCTTTTGTCTGTTTCCCCCCAGTCTCCTGAGACTCCTGGGAGAGCAGGGCTGGGCTGTCTGCTCACTCTCTCCCCATGGCCTGGGACACAGCAGATGTTTAGCACTGCTACATGATCAATGAATATTACACGGTATCAAGATTGTTCTGGTTGTATATACTGTTTTATTTTCACCCATCACCTCTATTTTTTGTTTTTGGTGATACTAGGGTTTGAACTCAGGGACTCAAGCTTGCTAAGCAAGTACTCTATTGCTTTGAACCACACCTCCAGCTACTCAGCACTTTTTTTTTTTAAGTATTTTCCTGCCATTAAATGTCTTTGAAAGTTGGGGCGTGGCTCAGTAGTAGAGTTCTTGCCCTTGAACTCATGATCCTCCTGCCTCAGCCTACTAAGTGCTAGGATTGTAGACTTGAACTTCCATACCCAGTTAACAAATAAATATTCTTAGAGAACCCTTTTTCACAGCCATATAATATTCCACCACATTGTTGTTGCCTCAATGTCTGTGCTCTATTTTAGCCAATGCCTCATAAACTTTACTCAATGCTATTGGAAGGACTTGCATAACTAGTTTGGAAAAAGGAAATAAAGGTTTTCCCGATTGATGAAATTGATGGGGCAAAGGCAGAGTGTGGGTGGAGGGGTGTGTGAGAAAAGTCTTAAGGGTATTGAACTCAGGAGCTGTGTCCAGTGTCCAGAGGACCATGGAAGCCCCGGCCATGGTGTAAATTCTCCTACCACGGTCTAGTTCAAGTTCCTAAGGCGGCATCCCAGCATGTGGAGCTGGAAAGTCCTGTGCACACTCAGACATTATGGGCAGGGAGGAGCAGGCTCCAGCCAGTCCTACCTGCCCACCCCATACCACACTGTGGCAGGGAGCCCCCTGTCCTGTGAGCCCAGATGTCAGACCCTCAGCGTCCTAGGCAGGGAGCCCCTGAGGGCGGGCAGAGCCCTGACCTTGGGATCTCTCTCAGATTTCTCAGCTGGGATGAAAATCTCCAGATTCCCTGGGCTCCACAATCCAGAACTGGAACCAGAACCATGCTGGCTGCTGAAGTGTGTCACACTGTCCACCCTTGGAATTCAGGGCTGGAGCTGGTGGTGCACCCTGGCCGTGTCCTCAGGAACCTGCCTTAGCCCTAAGCCACCAAGTAGGCTCAGTCTGAGGCACCGGGTGGAGGGGAATTGGCATATCCCACAGTGGCCTGGACACTTGGTGAGCACTTGCTGTATGCAGGTGTGATAAGGTCTGACATTTATTTTTCTCCAGGCTCACAGACATTCTAGAAAATCGGCGTTATTATAAACTCTAATTTGCAGATGGGGAAACTGAGGCACCTGGCATGGGGATTGACTTGCAGGTCAGCCTGATCTAAGGCCTCTGCTCTTAAAACCTGGGCCAGTACCTCCCCCACCTAAGGCTGTATACAGCACCTGCTGGCTTCAGTCAAGGGTGCTGAGCTACACAGACTGCGGCAAGACAAGGATCAGGGGTTTATCTTCCTGGAGACCATTTCAAGAGGACCTACCATGTGCCAGGAAGGATGCCAGCTAGCCTCCACTGTCCTTCTGGTTAGTTCTCATAAGGACCTGTAAGAACAATGGGCTCCCCCCACCACCACTTCTTGCCTGGTGGCCCTGAGCTGGTCACACACCCTCTCTGGGCTGCCTTGTCCCTTTCAGTCCCTTGACAGGGGCTGGCCTTAGGGAACTTCCACCCCTGCCAGTTTCAGGTCAAAGCTCTCAGAACAACAGGAAGTGGCTGAGTCCTGTGGAAAATTGAGGGTTCATGGCCACTGGCCCAGGTGGATTGTGGGTGAGATACCGGACATCAGACAGACAACAGGGCTGGCTCCCTGGAGACTTGACTGGCACAGTCCACAGCCCTGGCATTTCCCCCTGGGGACCTGGGGAGGAGAACTGGGAATGGGGCTTCCTGCTTAGCTTTGGAAGATGGACCAAAGATGGCTGGCATCCTGTGGGACCCCAGTATGAGGCCCTCAGGTTTCATCAAAGGTCCTGGAGGCTCTGCAGCTCCCCAGGGGCAAAAATGTTTAGCAAGAGGCTCCCACTCAGGTGGGGGCACAGGATCCTGTCTGGCAGCTGGGGTCACAGGAAAGTTCTACTTCCTCCTGGACTGTATATTCACTTTCGGGGGATTCAGGGTGACTGCTAACAATCACAGTGGGAGAGGGACACTAACTACTCCTTTGGGGTGACAGGTGTTTCAGCCTCAGCCCTGGATCACCCCTTGTACCTCACCAAGGACATGGCAACATGCTAAGCTTCTGGACTGTTCTACTGGACCCATTTTCTAGATGGGGCAACCGAGGTCCAGTCTCTGAGGGAGGGAAGACTCACCAGGAAGCAACCAGCTGGAAAGAGAATTCCAAGTCTCTGAATCCTTTCAACCTGGCTGGGGTGGAGTCCAGAAGGAAGCTGGGGAGGCCGACCATCCAGCTGCTCCTGCTACTGGGTGAGGGTGCCTGGCCCTGCCGGTCTGGGCAGTGACAGACACCCTCACCTTGCAGGGGCCCAGCCCATTGGTGTCCAGCCCCGAGCTGGTCCCAGTGAATTGGCTCACACCAGCTCTTCTTAAAAGCAGGCAAATGATGAACTCACAGGGAAAAATAAGCTTATGTCAGTGTATACTCTGGGATAGGCCCTTCTGGTCCCAGCATCTCATTTAAAATTTGAAAGTGTACAAACCTGGACAGGGGAGAAGAGAAAAAGGGAAGAAGATCTCTCTGCTTGAGGTGGAAGAACACCCTGGAAGTCTTCCCAGGAGATGTGACATTTAAGCCACACCTTGACAGACAATATAATATCAAAACACTTTCTGAAAGCTCACTCCAGGTGCCTGGCACTGCTCTGAGAACTTTACAGCATTATCTCATTTCATTCTCTCAAAACCCTGCGAATGACATTGGGGGTCATCCCCGCTGAACAGATGAGAAAACCAAACCAACGCACAGAGAGGTTAAATGTTCTACCAAATGGCAGAACCATAATTCAAACCCGGGAAAGCCAACCAGTTACTGTGAGACTTCTGTTATTTAACCTCTCTCTGCCTCAGTTTCTTCATCCACAAAATGGGAGCCATTGTTCAATACTGTGTAGTACACTGGAGTTATAACATAGACAAGTGTCTGGCACACAGTAAATGCTCAGACAATTGTGGGTGACTTTTTCTTTTTGTGGTACTGGGGCTTGAACTCAGGATCTTCACCTTGAGCCACTCGGTCAGCCTTTTTTCTTTCTTTTTTTTTTTTTTGTGATGGGTTTTTTGAGATAGGGTCTCATGAACCATTGCCCGGGCTGGCTTTGAACCGCGATCCTCCTGATCTCAGCCTCCTGAGTAGCTGGGATTACAGGCGTGAGGCGCCCTGCACGGACGACTTCTCATCCCCATGGTGGCTGTTATCTTTGAGCCTTCCCCTCCCCCTGCGGCTTCCTCCCCCGCAGTGCCAGCGTGTGTGTGACGTTCGAACAGCCGCTTGCACACTCGGTTTAATTGGAAACTAAGAGGCGATGGAAGCGGGGCGGGGGGGGGATGCTCGAGGCCCCTCCCTCCACTCTGAGCGGAACCCCCAAGGGAATGGCGACCGCGTCTGTAGCGACGCCTCCCGCCGAGCGCGGACACTGAAGGTGCGGAGGTCGCTCCCAGGAGGCGGTGCCTGGGTGGCAGGCAGGGGGGACGGGCGCCGTGGTCCAGCGGGAGACAGAGCTGGTCTTTGGAGCCCAACGCCAGCTCACCCGGAGCCGAGGCCACGCCCACCCCACCCGGGGCCCCGCCCACCCGGCGGCGCGCACCGCAGAGCGCCTGGCTCTCCGCCACCCGTGCGCTCCGGCGCGCGTGACTGGGGTGCCGGCAGGGGGCGCGCGAGGGGGTCGGCGGGCGGGCTGGGGACACCGTGGGAGGCGGGATTTGGGGGACGGCCCTGGGCCTCCCCCTCCCGCCCCCTGCCCGCCCAGTCGGTCCTCCCGGAGCTCCAGAGCGAGGCGAAGAGCCGGTTGTGTCCCCCGCACGCGCCTCCCGCACCGAGCTCCTACCTGTGGAGCCCCGGGGGGCGCCCCCTCCCCAGGGGACCGATTGCTTCTCCTCCTTCCGATCCCCGACCAGCCCAGCCCCGCGCGTCTTGGACAGGTGGCGCCGGGACCCCGGGACAGGGCGCCAGGCTCGCAGCTGGTGACATGTAGACGCCCGCTGGTCCAGCCTCGGAACCTGGGCGCCCTCTTGCCCGGAAAGTTTGGGGTTGGGCGCCATGGCCAAGAGCAGCCACCTGAATATCCGCGTGGTGGAGGGCCGGGCGCTGCCCGCCAAGGACGTGTGAGTACCCGGGGCGCCTGGGGGACGCGGGTCCTTATCTGCGACCCGGTACTGGGCCACGTCCGCCGCCACCCGGGCAAGAGGCCCCGCGCGCCTTGCTGTCCTGCTGGGAGGGGTGGCCCAGGCTTAGCAGATGCCCCGCCTCGCCCCCCGGGAAGGAGGGTGTCTTTGTTCCCAGGATGTACTCCAGGGGAGCCGGAGAGCCGATTGTGGGGTCCCTACTATATCTGTTCCTTAGTCCAGGCAGGTGCTGGAGGTGGGGCTTCCTGAGGTCTGGCGGAAGGGGGGTAACAAGGGAACCCCGAGGAGCCAGTAGGGCTGTGAATCCAGATGGGCCCACGCATTCTGTGTGCAAAGTGTCACCGGGTGGCCCCTCTGGAATCCTCTGACCCATGGCACTGAGCACCCCAGTCTTGTAGCTGCCACCGCCCCCCCAACCGTGGGCTTTTCCAGGATGGTGAACTGCTTGAAGAACCACTGACTTCCCAGTCCCCCAAACGACCATCACCCACCCACGTGTGATGGGCTGGGGTCTCTTGGGCTTCCTTTATCCCAGTTCCTAGCTCTGCTCCCCAGGACTGAGTCAGCAGTTGCTGACTCAGCAGTATAAGGGAAGTCTCCCCTCCTGCTTGGCCTGAAGCCCAGAAGGGGCTCTGAGGGTGTCAGCACCTGGGACAGGTATAGGAGCCTTGGAAGGATGTTTGCTGGGTGACCTTGAACCTGACTCTTTCTGGGTCTTGGTTTCCCATCTGGTCAGTGGGAGCTGGGGACAGAGTGACCATCTGGATGCCACATCCAGCTGTGAGGGTGGAGGACCTGTTAGGGCTTACCTGTGTCAAGGTGACCAGGAACATGGATTTGGAGTCTTCGCTGAGGTCAAGGTTGGAACTTAGCTCTGTGTCAGTCCTCCAAGCTGGGGGCTCCATATCCCACCTGTGATTTCAGGAACCTCTCCACCCCCCAGCACTGTGCCTAGTGTAGGGAGCTGTGTAGAGAGATTTTGGCCACCAATTACCCCAATATACAGGCAACTGAAATAAAAAAGGAGACTGACTGGTCCAGCCCCCCTGCTCCCCTCTTTTTGAGGTGTCCCTCAGAGTTCCTAAGAATTATATTTTGAAATGCATGCGCCATGAGGGCAGGGTTAGGTGCCCGGCAGGGATGCCTAAGGCCCAAGACCCCGTGTAACTGAGGTAACTGAGATCCTGCTCCTCCACCTGTACTGGATGGAAGGTTATCAGCTGGTGGCAGGTGTTCCCCCTGGGTTGGGACCCTGGCTCACAGGGGTCCCTGCATCTCCTTGGAGGGAATTTTAGTCACCTCTTGTTTCTGCATCTCTCAGCCACCTTGGCTCCCTCCACTTCCCTTGCCAAGGTAAGCTCTGAGGTGGGTCATACCCCAGAGCAAGGGTGAGGAGGTGCCACTGTAGCCCAGCACTCAGAGCTGGGATTTCTGTGCCGGGAGGCTCTTGGGTAGGATTGTGTCTCTGCCCTCTCTTAAGGCTGAGGGCGCAGACTCTGAGACCTGGCTATGGCCAGCCTCGCCTGGGAGGAGTCTGTACCCTCTCTTTAAAGTCGTTTCAATTGTTGACAATAGCTACTGTCTGTCATTGAGAGGTTACTGTGGACAGGTCCCATGCTTAACACTTCCTGTGGTCCTCTTGGTGTCTCTATTTTACAAATAGGGAGACTGAGGACCAGAGAGGCAGTCATTTGCCTAAGGTCACACAGCGAGGATTTAGATGCAGACCACCTCTGCAGACAAACCAGACGAGGCAGGCAACGGCCAAGAGGCCTCTTTCTTATGTTGCACTGGAGCAGGGGCCGTGGGACAGCCGGGCTCTGGAAAAGGCCAGCCCCTCCCACCACCCCACCCTGGCCCCTACCTGATGACAGCTCGATAAGGCCTTGTGCCTGCGTCAGAGCCCTGGAACAGCTGTGCTGAGCTTTGCTCCCGTGAGGGGTCGGAGGTCATGGAGGTCAGGCTGGGTCCCTCGGAGGGGCCGCCTCCTGGCCCTGTGCTAATGGGATCCCAGACAGGCTGAGCCACATCTGCTCTGGGGAAACTGAGGAACAAAAGTGTGCCAAAGGAAACGCAAGGAAAGAGAACCCTGGGGGGAAAGGAACATGCAGGGCACCACGTGTCCAGAGGGGAAACTGAGGCCAGGGGCACCACTCAAATGGGGATTCAGAGGTGGAACTCAGAGAGAAACACAGAGACACCGCCAGGGAAGAAACCAGATAGGGAAATGGAGGCTTGGGAATGTGGGGCCGGCAGCGGGTGGGGAGGGTAAGGGAAGGAGTCCAGAAAGGGAAACTGAGGCATGACAAAGGGCTCATCCAGCCAAAGCTCAGGTTGGAGTCAACTTTTAGTGCCAACAAGTCTGTTCCCTGACATTTGTGAGTCTGTGAGAGACTGAATAGAGAGGGGGTGGCAGAGAGAGAGAGAGAGGGAGAAGGACATTTGGATGGGTACAAAGGGGACATTGCAGAGAGCAGGTCCCATCGACCTGGGTTACAATCCTGTCCCCATTCCTTCCTTCTCAGAGTGTGCACTCCACACATCTACCCATTCAGAACTGTCCGTAGGATCGAAGGTAGAGATGGGGTACAGCCTGTTCCCCATGGTTCAGAAGTTGTGACGAAGCGGGAGTCAGACATGAGACACAGAAACAGGGAGTGGGACGATTTGGGGTACTCACGGGGGCTATTTATTTATTTATGTATTGATAGAGGCTTGGTTTCCCCATTGTGGTCATACTGGCCTCAGACTCCCGGATTCAAGCCATCCTCCTGCCTCAGCCTCCCAGATAGCTGGGACTATGAGTGAAGGCCATTGCGAATGGCTTACATGGTTATTTTAGACAGGGCAGTGGTGGGCAGGGACCGCCACACTGGGCAGGTGACTTTTGAATGGAGGTTTGAGTGAAGACCCTGGTAGACAGTTTGTGATTTAACAGTGACTGCTATTATGAAGGGGGGATGGAGTTGGCTTTGATTGACCGAGGGCTCATGAGTGTCCAAGGTGATATGGTTGGTTCAGTTGTGAAGTCTGGATCCCCTGGTGTGTGCCTGCAGAATGGGGTCCCCTCCCCGGGGAAACTCCCAATGAAACAAGGAGCAGGGGAGGACAATGGTTACCCCAGGCTGGCGTCGAGGCTGGAGGTGGGGCACCCCGTGGTCCAGCTCCCCCACCCTCTCTTTTCATCCCTCCAGCCCCCTCAGAGGTGTGTGATAATGTTCTTCTTGATTTACAGTAAAACTGAGGCCTGGAGAGGGTAAGGGGCGTGCCAGGCAGATGCCCTAGGGGGTGGCACAGCTGAGTGTTGATAAACCACACACACTTGACGACTGCCCGGGGCTGTCTGGGGTCAGGACTGTGCACTTTCTGGTCTTAGTGCTCTGTTTTCTCCAGTGGAAGCCCACAGATTATAAATACAGTGGGTGGGTGGTGTCTTCTGCTGAGGACCCTGAGTGACTGTGTGTGACCCTGGACGAGCCCCTCTCCTCTCTGGACTTCAGCTTCCCCTGTCTGAATAATAAAGTGGACTGGGACTCCCTACTCAGTGCTGCTCTTTCCAGCCCCTCCTCAACCTCTCTCTTTGCAGGTCCGGAAGCAGTGACCCCTACTGCCTGGTGAAAGTGGATGATGAAGTGGTGGCCAGGTGTGAAGTGGGGTGAGGGCAGTGGGGAAGGGGCTTTTTCTAGACATGGGGAACCCAGGAATGAGTTCATGCTCCAAAGAGGAACTGGAGGTGGGCATGGTGGCACATGCCTGTAATCCCAAAACTTGGGAGGTACAGGTAGAAGGATCACAAATTCAAGGCCAGTGTGGCCTATGTAGAAAGAACCTGCCTTGAAAAACCAAACCCTCCCCTAAAAAATAGGAGCTGGAGGGAGCAGTGCTCACCCAGGGGACTTGCAGGTCTGAAAGTGATTGCTTTGTGGCCTGGCCTCTCTGGGGCGGACAGCCAAAGCTGCCAGCTGCTGTCCCCATGCAACACACCAACTGGCTGAATACCCTCTGCCTCTGGACCCAGGGTGTCCCTTCGGCTCCCTGGGGCTGACTCAGCTGCTGCCAATCCGCGCCTCCTCCCGTGTGGCCTCCCTGGGGCGGGCATCTCACGCTTGGCTGGACTGGCTGGTTCCGAGCCTGCTGGGTTGCTGCGGGTGCTGGGGTGTGTGTGTGAGCATGCGGGTGTGTGCGTGGGCCTGCCCAGCTGGGCCCACTTGTGAGTGTGCAGTGGGGGTTGCAGAGCTGGTGTGAATGCCTGTGTGCATGACCTGGGGCGTGCGGGTGCACTGGTGTGTTGTGTGTGCACGTGCACATGGGCTGGCCTGCACACACACGTGAGCACCAGCCTGCTTCCGTGGGCACAGAGGCATGGAGTGACACCAGGAGGAGGTGCAGATGTGTGTGTGTGTGAGGGAGACTCTGAGGGGGCATCGGGCAGGGCTGGGCTGGGCTCCCACCCCTGCAGGCCAAAGAAGGTGGGTGGGCTGGTGGCTGAGGCCTTGGTTCCTATGGAGACAGCAGAATTCAGGATGTTCCTGGCACTGGTTCTGGTCCAGCTGGGCCTGGAAGTGGGTGGGGCAGGGGGTGGGGGAGGGGATGAGTGTGTGTGGAGGAAGCTCCTCTGAGGATCCATCTGACGGCAGTGTCCCTGGGGTGGGCGGAGAGGGCGGAGCCTGTGTGCATGTGTGTGCACTCTTTGTGGGAGGACTGTGACCAGAGGAGGGAGGAAGGAAGCAGCAGGTGGGGGAACTCAATCTTGCATCCATAGCTGGGTGTGTCTTCACCAGGCAAATGGTGTGTGTGTGCACGTGCGTGTGTGGTGGGTGCACTTGTCACGGTCCCCAGCCGCTCTGTGATCCCCCTTGCTTACGGCTTTTCCTGTTCCCCCTCCTCACCCGACATCTTCCTGTTGCGGCTCCCTACTGCCTCGGGGCCTTTGCACATGCTGTACGGGCCACCTGGAACACCTGTCCTCCTTGCCCTCTGTCTTTTGCCTAACTCCTGCAGGAGTGTGACACCCCACGCTCAGGTGCCACCAAGCCAACCCTGATTACGGGAGTTCTTCCAAAGTCCCCGTGAGGATCAGGAGGGAATGCGTGAACAGAACTGTGTGTGTGCCAGTGACTGTGCGTCTGTGTGTTGAGTGAGTGTGGCTCCCTGTGTCACTGTGAGGATGTGAGCAGTGTCTTCACATTCTGTCTGGGCGACTGGGTCTGTATTTACAAGGACATAGGTATGTGTTTCTAGAAATATCTGAGGATGTCTACATGTGTCTGCGTATGTGGGGATGTGTCTGGTTTCCTGGGAGCAGCTGGTGTGTCTGTCTCTGTGTGTCCCTGTGTGTGTGGCTTGTGCACACACATTTCTGTGAGTCTCTGTGTGTCTTTTGCTCTTTCTCTTTCTGTGTGAGTCTGGCTGTGTGTTGGGGCCCCGTGTGTGTGCGTGTGTGTGTGTGTGTGTGTGTGTGTGTAGGGTTGTGTGTGTTTTGCCCCCTGAGTCTGTGCGTGTACATGTGTGTGTTGAGATCTCCAGCATGTCCGAGTCTGGGCGTGTGTGTGCGTGTCTAGGTTCTAGGTGTGTGTGCCGTGCAGTGCCTGTCGTGGGGGTGTTTGTGAGGTCTCGAGTGTTTGGTGTCTGGGTCTGGGTCATTGGCTGCCCGCATGGCTGAAGCTCCAGCCCCTGTGTCCTCTCACAGGACAGCCACCGTCTGGCGGAGTCTGAGCCCCTTCTGGGGAGAGGAGTACACCGTGCACCTGCCGCTGGACTTCCACCACCTGGCCTTCTACGTGCTGGATCAGGACACCGTCGGGTGAGTGCAGGGCAGCTGGGGTGCGAGTGGGGACCCAATCCACAGCAAAGTTTGCCTCCAGCTCTGGTCACCCTGTGCTCCGCGGGCCGGTGGGGCCCTGGCCTCGGACCCTCACCTGCCACCTTTCTGCAGGCACGATGACGTCATCGGCAAGATCTCTCTGAGCAAGGAGGCGATCACCGCAGACCCCCGAGGTGGGTGACAGCGCAGGCCTAGGTGGACAGGGGAGGAGAGCTGTGACAGACACAGAGCCTCCGAGCCTTCTCCCGTGGTCAATTATTTCTGTTTTTTTTTTTTTTTTAACAGTACTGGGTTTTTAAATTTTGGTTTTGAATTATTATACATTAATAACACAATGGGATTTCATTGTGATAATTCCATATACACACAGTGTACCTTGAACAAGTTCATCCCTCCTTTTATTCCTATCTTCCCTCTCCTGCCTCCTTGCTTTTTCCTTCTCTCTCTCTCTTTCTCTCTCTCCCTCTCTCTCTCTCTCTCTCTCTGTCTCCGGACTAGGGTTTGAACTCAGGGCTTTGCACTTGGAAAGCAGGCTCTCTACCACTTGAGCCACACCTCCAGTCCATTTTGCTCCGGTTATTTTTGGAGATGGGATCTTGTGAACTATTTGCCCAGGCTGGCCTCGAACCACAGTCCTCCCAATCTCAGCCTCCCAAGTAGCTAGGCTTATAGGTGTGAAGCCACCAGCCCTCCCCTACTTTTCAAACAGTCTTTTGTGGATTTCATTATGCCATCTCCATATGTATGTGTGCAGTGTACTTTCATTCTGTTCACCCCTCAGGGTACTGGGATTTGAACCCAGGGCTTGATGCATGCCAGGTGAGCGCCCTGCCACCTGGTAGAGCCTGGTAGCTGTTTTGTTGTTAATTTTAATTTCTAATTCAGTTTGTTTATGGATCAGTTAACTCTTCTGCATAGCTCAGCGTTTGCAGTGCACAGTAAGCAGGCAGCCGCTGGCTCCTACCTGGGGGAATGGGTGCCACCTCCTTTATGTCCTTCTGGACAAGCAAGAACAATGGTAACAGCAGTGAACACTTATATAGTGCTTGCTGCATTCGAACACCTTCTAAGTTCTTTACGGATACTGACTCACCTAATTTTCAGAATGACCTGACGAGAGGCGGGTAATCTTACTATACACTTCTTACTGCATACCGCAGGCTGACCTTGAACTCGAGATCCTCCTGCTTCTGCCTCTGAGGTTACAGGCCCGATCGCGCCCTATCTTCAGTGAGTACTGAGGCACATTGAGTTACATGACTTGCACGAGATCACCAAGTTATTATTGAGACAGCCAAGATTTGAACCAGGGTTGTATGGGTCTGAGCTGCAGTTTTGCAGTGTGTGCCACACTCACCTGTTCTGTACCTTTTTTTTTTTTTTTTTTAACATCACTGTCTGTCTTTGAGATCTTCCCATAACAGCGCCCCAGGGGTTTCTGCCGTCTTTGTCTCTGTGTGACATGGTGGCACTCCACTGTGTGATGGCTTGTCCCCTGCTGATAGCGTCTGGGTTGTTATTAAGAGTTTCCTAGTTCAAACACCAAGGCAATGAATTTCCTTGTATCAACATGACCCCACCATGTTTACAAGCTGTACCATCTGTCACATAAATCCCTAGATCTGGTGAATCAAAGCACACATGTTTGCACACCTGAGAGTTACCTGTGACTCACCCCTCCACACCTTTGTAACAGTTATCAAACTTCTAAATCTTGTATCTGATAGGCAAAAAAAAATTGCCTCTTAGTGTGGCTTTATTTTGCATCTCTCTGAGTGAGATCGAACACCTCTTTTTGTTTGGTTTTTGAGAAAAGGCCACGCTGAGCTCCTCCTGCTTCAGCAACCCAAGAGTTGGGATTACAGGTGTGCACCACCACACCTGGGCCGAACACCTTTTGTTTTTTTGGTGAGATTGGGGTTTGAACTCAGAGCTTTGTGTTTGCACAGCAGGTACTGTACTGCTCAAGCCACACCTCCAGTCCATTTTGCTTGGGAAGATGGAGTCTCACAAACTATTTGCTAGGGCTGGCCTCAAACCATGGTCCTCCTAATCTCAGCCTCACAAGTAGCTAGGATTACAGGAATGAGCCACCGGCACCCAGCTTTAAACATCTTTTTTTTTTTTTTAAATGTTTTTATAGGTTTAAGACTCACTGTTTTCCTTTCCTGGCCTGTTGTCGATGTACGTTGTATGTGCATTTTTGCCCTCTGGGTTGTTTGCCTTTGGTTATTGATTTGGGGAAGCTTTTTATTCATTAGATACAAACTCATTGTCATTTGAACCAAAAATATTGCCCTCTTTTATTTTTTCTTCACCTGTGATTTTTGCCATGTATTAAGATTGTTTCTTTTTTTGTAGTCAACTTTAGAATCTATCTTTCATTCTATCTGTCTGTCCATCCATCCATCCATCCCATCCATCTACCCACCTATCCACCTATCCATCTATCTATCCATCTATCTATCATCTATCTGTCCATCTGTCCATCCATCCATCCATCCACCCACCTATCTACCTATCCACCTATCTATCCATCTATCTATCATCTGTCCATCTGTCTGTCCATCCATCTATTCACTCACCTATCCACCTATCTGTCTATCTATCTATCTATCTGGATATATATTCCTGATTTTCTGTTATGCATTAAAAGATCTTCCTAATTCTAAGATTCTGGTAAAAACAATTTTTTTCAGTGGTATTGGGGTTTGCACTCAGGACCCCATGCTTGTTAGGGAGGTGCTCTACCACCTGAGCCACTCCTCCAACCCTAAAAAAAACCCCTTTTTTGGCATGATTCCTGCTAGCAGTGTTTTATCTCATTTTTATATCTTCTTGGAATATATGCAGACCTGAGGCGTGGAGATAAAATTGAACTTTATTACTTTTTTGCTAATTGTCTCAACACCGTTTTTTGAATAATCCATTTTTCTTCCATGGGACTGAGTTGCCGGCCATCACAGTGACGACTGCTGCTATCTGATGAGTGATTACCATGCTGCTGCCACCTGCTCTTTCCTGAGTCCTCACGACCCTCCAGTGACCTGTGCCCTGCCACCGTGGCCATTCATGTGGCGTGCTGAGGGGAGGTGACTGCCCCATGGTGGCAGTCTCAGAGTTGAGCACAGAGGTTGTGGGTGTCCTCTGAGTTTGTGTCCCCAACCTGCCCACTGGGCTGTACTCAGTGTTGTTGAATATCCACCCCAGGGCGTGGGGTTGACCGACTGGAGCCCTGGTTTCTGGTTGCTCATGGACTAGTAAAACGCAGAGATCAGGGAGCAAGAAAAGAAGGAAGGGGGACATGTGTCTGCTTGTGCAGGTGGAGGTAGGTGGATGTCACCAGTGTGATGGTGGAAGAGGGTAGTGAGGGTCCATGGGCTCTCAGAGGGCTTCATGGCGGAAGAAAAGTGAGCTTTTCTCACCAAGGCTTCCTTTGGTCCTTGAAAGTGCTTAGGTATAGACACAAGGACAGATTTCCTTCCAGAGTCACAAGGCCACATGGAGCTCTTGGTGGTGATTGGTTGGTGTGACTGTGGGGGCCAGACTGGAGTCTGTGTTTTCTTCTGGAGACAATGGGGGGCCATTGATGATTCTGGAGCAAGACAGTGAACGAACTGGGGCTATGTTATCAGGAGATGAGTGACAGAAGAGCCTATGGCTGCTTCGTGGAAAGAGGGTCACAGGGGGCAAGGTTGGACGCAGATCACTTAGGAGCCTGTTGCAATGACAGAGTGACAGACCTGGTGGCTTCCTGGACATGGGGGTGGCAGCAGAGATAGAAGTGACATGGGGCTTCTACTCCAACCGCCTGTGGGGAGGAATTAGACCCCCCACTGCCGTAGCAGGGCGATCGGGGTCAATGAGGGCTCCCAGTACTGCTTTAGACTTGCCGTAAGGAAGGAAAAGCCCTCAGTATTTCCCCGACCCCAAGCCACACTCTAAACCCCACAGGGAGGAGCGAGTAGCAAGCAAGGGAAGAAGAGAGGATTTCCCTGAACGTAGATGTCAACATCAAGGTCAGCAGAAGGTGAATGTGGTGGGTGGACAAGGGTCCCTGTAGGCCGACACCCTCAAAGGGCTGCAAAGCGTGCGTCCTGCCCAGCCTGAGGTTCTCCACAGAGGGAGACGGAGCAAGCATGGCCTCCAGTCAAAGAGCAGCACACACACAAGGAAGCCGGCCACCATGAGCAAGAGTCCACAGGATCCAGAACCAGCAACACCCACGCAGCCTTTAGATGCTGTCCTTATGTCTTCCTTGATTTCAAGAATCGGACCGCGAGCACGGCTCAAGCAGCAGCGTGTTAGGCTCTGCGTTCAGTCCCCAGGACCGCGCGCATGCAATCAAATATTTACAGAAACAACAGGTGCAGTCCTAAGAAATGCCGACAATAACAGCAAAAAATTAAAAAAACAAACCTGTGTCGGACAACGCAGTTCTAGCCTCCACAAGGCCCTGGGTTTAATTTGCTGGCACCACAAATAAATAAATCAGTAAACAAAGAGTAGGCAGATGTTTAAGATAACCAAAGAAACTTTCAGAGAGAAGCAGAATTGTCGAAATAAGATACGAAGGGTCTGAGTTCCACAAGAGTGTGTTCAGAGCTGAAGCGAGACACAGTGAATGGGAGGAAAAACCTGGAAGCATGGATTGTTCAAAGTCACCTTGGAGAGACAGGAGGAGGCCAATGCGAAGAGACTCAGGAAACAACTGTGAAGATCGACCACATCCATTTCGTTTGAGTTCCTGGAAGAGAGAAGAGAAAATATTAGTGAGGGGAAGTTAAAAATTTTGAAAACCAGGGAGTGAAAATGATTACAACTGCCGGGTATGGTAGTGCATGCCTATAATCCCAGCAATGGGAGGACTGTAGTCTGAGGCCACCTCAGGCATGAGATCCTATCTGAAAAAATAATTAAAGCAAGAAGGACTGGAGATGTGGCTGAAGTGGTAGAGCACCTGCCTACGAAGCACAAGGCCTTGAGTTCAAACCCCAGTACTGCAGGAAAAAAAAAAAAATCACAACAAAATTGATGGCCTAGGTTTTTCCAGAATTGAAGGAAAGATTTGATTCCATAAGTAGGAGAAACACAAGGTATAATAAGCATATTTAAAGAATCCGTGTCCCATTGTGCTAAAACTGCAGAACATCAAAGACATAGTCCTTAAATAAGGAAGAAAAGACTGGGCATGGTGGTGTACACCTGTCATCCCAGCACTCGGGAGGCTGAGGCTGAAGGATCATGAGTTCGAGAGCAGCCCGTGCTGTATAGTGTATAGGGATTGAGTGATGGGGTGACAAGGGAGAGGCAGCACAGGGCTCAGAGTGTTGGCCCCAGAGCTACACTGCCTGGGTTCAAACTCTCGCTCTGCCATTTTCTGGGTGTGGGGTCACGTGCAGTCTCTCTTGTGCCTCACTTTCCCCAGCTGGACATGGTGCTAATTGCAGCACCTACATCGGAGGGCTGACAGAGAAGCCAGTGATCTGGCTCATGGTTGACACTGGTAGGATTTTAAGCCGGCACAGCTGTTAACAGACGTCCGTGCGTCTGTCCACCAGGCATCGACAGCTGGATCAACCTGAGCCGCGTGGACCCGGATGCCGAGGTGCAGGGCGAGATCTGCCTGGCGGTGCAGGTGCTGGAGGATGCACGGGGCCGATCCCTTCGCTGCCATGTGCGCCAGGCCAGGTACGTCTCGATGGCCATGGTGCCAGCAGGAATCCCTGGGTCTCCTCAGCTGCTAGGTGTTCGAGACTCCCTCACTCCAGAAACATCTGGACTCACACAGGATCCCCGTATGCTCAAACAGCCCAGGGGGTGTGAGGGTGACAAATCACAAAAAAATATTGTGACCTGCAACAGAGGACCAGACACTCAGGATGATGGCCAGACAGATAAGTGCAGGGTGAATTCATCAGATTGTAACTGACAGAGAATCAACTTGCACCCACTGTCACTTGTTCATAGGACCAAGCAGTAGCTTCAGGCATGGCTGGATCCAGGAGCTCAAAGGGCGACACGATGACCCTGGCTCTTTGACCCTGCTGTCTTTGCCTACCCCTCCCTCCCAGCTTCATTCTCAGGCAGCCTCTCCCTAAGGTGGGACAAGGTGACCCTGGCACCCCAGGCTGGCATCCCACCCACCGAGCCACTCCAATTGACAAAGGTCTTCTTTCCAAGCAATGCCCTGGCGTGAATTTGATTGGCTCAGCCTGGGGCACATTCGTGTCTCTGAACCAATCACACTGACTGGGCCAAGGGGGTGGGAGGGTCAGTGCTATCCTGAAGGAAGACAAGCAGGACCAGAAAACCCTACAGATGGCCTCTTAGGAGCACCAGCTCACCAGCAGCCATGGTCTTCTTGCCACTGCCTTTCCTCAACCCTCACCTCAGGCTCTCCCTTAACAAACCCCCCCACCTTCCCTCTCGTCTTCCATCCCACTTTTCTGCCTTTTCCACAACTGTCTCCTCTGACCCTCACTTTTAGGCCACTGTTCATCCATCTATATTTCTAGCTTGCTGTGTGGCCATAAAACCCTTCCTTGCCCTCTCTGAGCCTCTTCCACCACCTCCAGATTTCTCCTCCCAGCCTTGATCTCAGCTGGATGAGGGATGAACCAAGGAGGAAGGGACAGGCTTCAGGATTCAACAGGAGGCCCTGGAGCCTTGGCTGCTTTCTGCTTGTGGCCCCCTCCCCAGTCACAAGGCCATGCGAGATCTGTGCAAGCAGGAGAGGGACCGATGGCTGTCGCTTAGCAACTATGTTGGCTCCTAGGAAACCAAAAGCTTTGGATGCTGGGTGAGGCTGAGAAGTGAGAGAGAGAGGAGGAAGCTGGCAGCCCCTGGTGATGGGGGGAATGTTTCTGAATTTGGGGGCCTCATGAAGGGAGAGGGAAAGCTGAGTCGAGTGAGGCTTTTAAGTTGTCATGGCAATCGGAGGCAGGGAGGTCCGTGTCTCAGGCCTTCTCTTTGTTTCTAAGAGGGTGTGGGCATGCATGTTTGTTGAATGAATAAGTGAGTGGAGCACTCACCACTTCTTGCCACAGGCTATGCATAGCTAGGCACTATGTATCATCATCCCACTTGACCCTTGGCACTGTGAAGTTGCTCTGCTCTCATTCCCATTTTCCAGGTGGGGAAACTGAGGCCCAGAGAGGCAAAGTGACTGTTCCTAATGTCACCCAACCAATGAGTACACAGCCAGGCTTTGAATTCTTGGATCTGGTCTCTCCCTTCCAGGGAAACTGAGGCTCTCTTGCCCCTCCCCACTGCACCTTCCCTTGTGGGATTTTGTGATGCCAGCCTGGTTCTTTTGTGCCTCAGTTTTCACGTGTGGAAAATGGGTGGTGTGGGGTGACCAGAAGCCCTGGGTCCCCACGGATGTAGTGAGGGGGCCGAATGGCGGAAGAGCTCCTTGCCTAGGAAACCAGTGCCATCCGTCTGATCTTCCTCGAGCCCCTTTCCAAGGCCCGGCTTGGGCCCGGGTCTCCAAGGGTCCTGTGACTTCTCGCTTCTTTCCTCCTCTGTCCCCAGGGACCTGGCCCCCCGGGACATCTCCGGCACGTCAGACCCATTTGCGCGTGTGTTCTGGGGCGGCCGGAGTTTGGAGACCTCGGTGAGCAGTAGGCCGGGAAGACGGGCAGGTCTGGGACACCTGGCAGTGGGCGGGCCCTCTGTGCTGTCACTCACAGGCCACTTCCTGCCCCCAGACCATCAAGAGGACACGATTCCCACACTGGGACGAGGTGCTGGAGCTGCGGGAGATGCCGGGGTCCCCATCCCCGCTGAGGGTGGAGCTCTGGGACTGGGACATGGTGGGCAAGAATGACTTCTTGGGCATGGTGAGCACCCTCCCTTTGATGTCCTCCATAGCTCCCTAGTGCCTCAAGGGGCAGAGAGGTGAGAAGGACTGAGCCTCCTGGGGCCCCAAGAGGGGGTGTGCAGGTCACCTCTTGTGCCCAGTCAGTCTGTGACCGGTGAGGGTCTCATTGCCCAGGCGCAGGAACCTGCTGAGACCAGAGGGTGGGTGCAGGGTCTCCTGGGACGGAGGTGCACCTGAGTGTGTGCTGGCCGCCTGCTAGTGCTCCTCCCCGCCTTTTACAGAAGGGGAAACTGAGGCTCAGGGAGGGGGAGTGGTTTTCTCAAGGTCCTACAACTGAGACCAGCACAGCCCGGACTCAATGCAGGTCTCTCTCTGGCTCCAGAACCCCCACTACCCTGGGACACGGGCTCCAGGTCTTTCCCTCTGCTGCCGCATCTGTAAAATGGACATGGTGGTGATGGTGGCTGTGCACTCAGGGCGGATGGTGTAGGAGGCCAGACTGGAGTAAATGAGAGTGGCGTGTGGTTGTGGCCGTCATGGATTGTGGCACAGCTGCCCGGGAAAACAGCCTGTCAGGTCCTCAAATGGTTACAGACAGAGTCAGCGTATGAAGCAGCAATTCCGCTTCTCAGCATAAATCCAAGAGAAGTGAAAACTTACGTGTGCAGTGCCAGGTGTGGTGGTGCACACCTGTAATCCCAGTGCTTGGAGGCTGAAGCAGGAGGATCACGAGTTCAAGGCTAGACTGGACTACATAGTGAGACCCTGACTCAAAAAAGCCAAAGGGAAAAAGTATAAAAGTCTATAAAAATATAAAATATGTATCTCTCCAGACCAGACATGCTGCCTCTAGCAGCTGTGTGACCTAGGGCCAGTCACACAACCTGTCTGAGCCTTAGTTTTCCCAAATGTAAATTAAATGTCCCCTAGAGGCCCTATCTATGTATGCCAGCAGGAGCCAATAATTTGGGACTGGGAGGGAGGGAGCGGGCATGGCAGCAGGAGGGTCTGTGTGTCCGGCAGGTGGAGTTCCCTCCACAGGTCCTGCTGCAGAAGCCACCCAATGGCTGGTTCCGCCTCCTGCCCTTTCCCAGAGCAGAAGAGGATTGTGGGTAAGTGTGTGCCCAGACAGGGCTAGCTGGACTCTGGGTACCATCCTCTACTGTGGGGGTCCCCAAGGGTCTACGCTGCCTTGCCACTTCATTCACTAGGTGTGTGCGTTGGCCTCTCGGGTGCCTTTCCACCTGTGTGCTCAGGCTTTCCGGTCCTGTCACCTGTCCATCTGTCCGCCATGGCCATTCTTGCACACACGCATTTATGCTACCTCTACCCTCTCCTGTTTGCACCTGAGACATGGCTTCACACCTGTCCACACTGTTCCTGTGCCGACACCAGCCACATGGTTCCACTCTGGCCGCACCTGTCACACTGCCTGTGCTGTCCAGTCCTCTTTCTACCTGTCAGGGTCTGTCCGCACCTGCCTGCCTCCTACTGTCCCTTCCCTATCTCGTCAGGGGGAACCTGGGTGCCCTGCGGCTGAAGGTACGCCTGGCCGAGGACCGTGTGCTGCCCTCCCGGTACTATCAGCCCCTGGCCGAGCTGCTCCTGGGGTCGGTGCAGGGCCCCGTGGAGGTGGGTGTGCCAGGCGGGCTGGGGTCCAGCCTCACGGAGGCCCCAGCTGGCTTTTCTGGGATCCTGGGGCCCCAGGCCATTCGTCAACCTCCTGTCCCTGCCCAGGAAGACATTGCCAGCCCCCTGGCTGTGCTGGAGGAGGTGACTTCCGGGGACTGCCGTCAAGACCTTGCCACCAAGCTGGTGAAGCTCTTTCTGGGCCAGGGCCTGGCTGGACCCTTCCTGGACTATGTCACCCGGCGTGAGGTGGCTCGGACCAGTGAGTGCCCTCACAGCCCCTGACGTCCCTCCCCAAGTGTGGGTCTGCAGGAGGACCCCTGAGGGGGAAGTGGGACACCCTAGGCTGAGGGTGGTGGCTCTTGAGTGTGGGGGAGTTCCTGTGCTGTGCACCCCAATCCCAGCTTCAGGCTTTGGCTTTGCTGCTGATGGGCCTCTGTGTGGCCTCTGTGCTGTTGATGGGTGGGGTTGATGCTTTGGCTCTCCCTGATTCTTGAGGATGGGAAAATCCTGGCCCCCACCCCCGCCACATTGGGTGAACTGGGTCCAGCCTGATTCCCAGCAAACACGTCCCCTGTCCTCCCAGCTGACCCCAACGTCCTCTTCCGTTCTAACTCCCTGGCATCTAAGTCAATGGAACAGTTCATGAAGGTGAGTCCAGTGGGGCTGGGGACAGCTCCCTCCCACTGCTTCCCGGACCCCCGAGCCTGGCTGGCCTCAGGTGGCCCTGGGTGGCTGAGCTGGGTGCTGGTGGCTGGTGCCTGGCCTCATCCTCGGTGGTGACCTTGGATGTGGCCAGCCTTGCTCTGAACCTCACCCCGCATGGCCCAGTGCCCCCAGGTCAGGGCTCCCTGCCTGCCCTCAGTCGCCCCTGTGGCCCCTGCCCCCAGCTCGTGGGCATGCGCTACCTGCATGAGGTCTTGCGGCCGGTGATCAGCCGGGTCTTCGAGGAGAAGAAGTACATGGAGCTGGACCCCTGCAAGATGGACCTGAGCCGGGCCCGGTGAGCAAAGCCAGGGCAGCTGGACCTTCCCATGGCACCCCTTGTCTTCATGGGGCTGGGGCTGGGGCTGGCTGCTGCCCACTGGAGCCCCGGGCCATCAGGCTGAGTAGGGCAGTGATACTGGGCGGGACTCAGAAGCTCTGTCTTCCTGGGTTCGAATCCTTGCTCCACCACGCCAGGCCTTTGTGATGTGAATGTGGTTCCTGTGGACACTAACTGGGCCGTGCAGTTATTTCATCACCGTGGGGAGACAGAGGCATGGGGGCTGTGTGCCTAGGTGGACGAGGGGCCCTCTGTGACACTGGGAGGAAATTCCTCGCCTCCTTTATTTTCAGAACCTTCTCCCCTCCAGCTGGGGGGTTCACTCCCACAGGGCCACTGGAGCTGTGGTGGGCAGTCCTTTGGAATGATGGTGGGCACAGGACAGAGTCTTTCCTTCCGTTTCGGTTTTGCCCACACCTCCTGGCCACCCCTGACGCAGTAGGGTTCAGTGCTGCCGTGCAGGGGCCATTGGTCAAGGGCACCATGGGGCTGGGAACCTCCAGTCCTGCCTCCAGTCTGGGTGTGAGCAAGACAGACCCCGAGCAGACAGAGGAAGAGACAAACGAGAGAATTTCAGACTGCTGAGTGCCAGGCTCTGGCCAAACACTGAGGACACAGTAGGGAACGAAGGGACACAGGTCCCATTCCTGGGGGAGGTAGAGCATCTATGACCTGAAGCAGGATGTTAGTGAAGGTGGCCAGAGCAGGTGACAAAAAGAAAGCTGAAAGGGGCTCAGGGTGGGAGAACAGCTTCGGAGACGGGGACCTTTAGCAGAACTTGAAAGTGGCGAGGGAGGGAGTCATGGTGATTGGGTGGAAGGGTGTCCCAGGCAGGAGGAACAGCAAGTGCAAAGGCCCTGAGGTGCAAGCATGTGTGTCATGTCCAAGCTGAAAACCCACAGAACCAAGGCCTGTGATGATGAGCGATGTGGGTGGATGGCCATTTTGAAGAGGGACCATTTAAGCTGAATGTAGGGATAAGTGTCCCAGGCCAGGGGAACAGCCAGTGCAAAGACCGAGATGGGCACATGTGCTGAGTGTGTGTGCCGCAGTAAGCATTGTAAGGAGGTGGGGTTCTGAGGTGGCAGATGCTGTGCTCTGAGACTGAGGGTCCCCCACCCTGCCACAGGAGGATCTCCTTCAAGGGCACACCCTCGGAAGAGCAGGTGCGGGAGACCAGCGTGGGGCTGCTGACTGGCTACCTGGGGCCCCTCGTGGACACCATCGTGGGCTCCGTGCCACGCTGCCCGCACGCCCTGCGCCTGGCTTTCAAGCAGCTGCAATGCCGCGTGGAGGAGCACTTCCCTGGGGCGGAGCACGAGGTGGGACGGGCTCTGGGCCGTGGGGCTGTGGGGCGGTGGTGCCAGGGTCACATGCAGAGTCAGGGCAGGGATGGCACTAGGTCCCGGCTGCCCAGAATTGAGCACTGTGTACCTGGCAGAAGTGGGGCAGCACTCCTGGAAGGTTTGGGACCCAGGGTAAAATGGTGGTGGTGGTGGTGATGTTACGATGACAGTGATGAGATGATGGTGACAATGATGGAGATGAGCTGATGGTGATGATGGTGGTGATAGTGATGGTGGTGGCGGTGATGGTGATGGTGGTGGTGATGGTGGTGGTGGTGGTGATGGTGGTGGTGATGGTGGTGGTGATGGTGGCAGTGATGGTGGCAGGTCATACTACATGCAGCCCCGACCGTGGGTCAGATCTTGTTTCAGACAGTTCATGTCCGCATTTTCTAACCTCACAACTACCCTGTGACCGGGGTACAGTGTTATTCACTTTATAGAGGAGGAACTGAGGCTCAGAGAGGCTGTCACACAGCCAGGGAGGGCTGGCGCTGGGGCGGTTCTGACCCTGTCGCTGTCCATAACCACCAATCACAAAGTAAGCAGCGTATGTCTCACCTGGGGGACGGGAGGGAAGGAAATGTTCAGTAGGTTTAGTAGGAACCCCCCCAAATAAGGTCAAGAGTGACTCCTGCAGGTGCCAGCACTGTCCCAACACTGACACAAAAGCTGGTGACTCAGCTGCTTTGGGTTTAAGACAGGTGCGGGACGGTAGGGAGTAGTGAGGACTGCGGCAAAATGCAACTCCCACAGCTTGTATAAAGAGGCCGTTACAGGTCATTGTTGCCAAGCAAGAACATTTTCAGAGCTGGACTTTTAAAAAAGTTATCATGCTGGATTTTACATGAGGTCTCTCATTTTTAAGATGGCGCTAATTCATCTAAACAATGAACCCAAACCACTTTGGGCTGACCATTACTTGTTTGTGGTTGGGTGGTGTGTAGGCTGCGGGTTTGAGACCCTAGATTTGTAATTCTCAGCATGACTTCCAAGGTAGCTGCTCTTGTCCTGGCTGGCAAATGCCATCAGTGAGGCTCAGGCAGAGCTAAATGCAGACCGCAGACTCAGTTTGCCGCAAGACGTAAGCCTGGTTCCAGGAGCCTTTGACTTCTGCTACCTCTCTCTGCACCTCCTGTTCACAGATGGGGAAATTGAGGCCCAGAGAGGTCAAAACACCTTTGCCAAGGGTTCTGGACTCCAGTCTGACTCCTCAACCCTCCACTGGGGTCACTCCTCTCCCCTTACCCCAGGAGAAAGTTCCGGGGTGTGGCTTCATTTGCACCCCACTCTCCTGGGCTGCCAGAGGTGTTAAGTGGGACGTGACTGTGGTGGGGAGACCAAGGGAAGGGGACAGCCCAGTGACCTCAGTGTCCCCCAGTTGTAGCCTCCAAGGTGGGCAGGGAGTGGGGACGTCCCAGTCTTCCAGGGTAGGAATGGGGTGAGGGGAGCATTGGGCGGCGCTGTATGGCTTCTCTGGTCCCTGTCCCCCGCAAGTAGAAAGGACCTTAAGAACTGATGTCAGCGCCAATGGTGACCCCGGAATGGGGCCAGTGGGAGGTGGCAGTTTGCAGAGGGCGTTCCTTTCTTTGGTGGCCCCACGTGCCAGCTCCCGCAGGGCCCCCTGGTAAGGCTGAGGTGCTCCAGGATGGGTTCTGCCTCGGTGTGAATACCACCCAGGAATAAACACAGGGCTCAATATAGCCCTGCAAGTGCGAGAGGGGGAGGGAGAGGCCAGGCGGAAGGGGCCCCGCACATCTGCAGGGCGCTGAGCTCTGCAGCTTGTCCAGGAACAAGGCCAGGGCAGGGCGCTCCCAAGCTGGACTCAGTTTCCTTATCTGGAAAATGGGGAAACGGTCGCCTTTCCGCTGGGGTATCTGAGGATTAAATGTGTTATGTGTAGGCCACACAAAGTGTCCTCATTACCGTAGGTCTTGTGAGCATAGGTCATAGACTTCGGTTCAAATCCTGATTCCTGTCCTCCTCAGCTGTGTGACTTTGACAAGTCTCTTGGGCTCTCTGAGGCTCTGCTTCCTCATGGGTAAAGTGCGAATGATGACGCTGCCTGTGTCTGGCTAAGACTGCTTGTGCAAGATTAGAGTTGTTCCCCATTGTCTAGCTGGAGAAACTGAGGCAGGCTACCTCCCGACCCATCTCCATCCCACTTCCCTGTGCACCACCATCCCTAGTCTTTGCTGCCTCAGTTTCCCCAGCTGGACCATGGGCTTCTGGCCCTCTCACCTGCCATTCCTTTGGCAGGATGTGAAGTACCTGGCCACCAGTGTTTTCCTCTTCCTGCGGTTCTTTGCACCGGCCATCCTCACGCCAAAGCTGTTTGACCTCCGGGACCATCACGCAGACCCCCAGACCAGCCGCTCCCTGCTGCTGCTTGCCAAGGTGCTGGGGCAGGGGCTAGCAGTCATTTACACCTTAGTGTGAATTAGGCCATTCTTGGCAAAGCAGCAACATGAGGTCTGATGGGCTCTGAGTATGCCCGATAGGACCGGGAAGTCCCAGGTGGGTCTAGGCCTTGGGAGGGAACAGAATAAAGGAATTGGGGCATAGCTCCTCCCACTGAGCACTGATTTGAGATCGGGTGCACACAGAGCCCTCATCTGTGCAGTGACCTTGTCCTGGGCTCTGCTCCTTCGCTCCAGGCTGTGCAGAGCATCGGAAATCTAGGCCAGCAGCTGGGCCAGGGCAAAGAGCCATGGATGGCCCCCCTCCACCCCTTCCTGCTGCAGAGTGTCTCACGCGTGCGGGACTTTCTGGACCAGCTGGTAGACGTGGACGGGGATGAGGGTGAGCTCCTGTGGCCTGGCCACACCTGCCTTCTTGTCCCACTGGGCAGCACTCAGGACCTGTCCTTCTCCCCCCTTCCTCAGCACTGAAAAGGTGGACCTGTGGGTCAGCTAGCCAGCCAGTCGATTAACATTGTCTGGCAGAAGTGCTAAGTCCTAGAGAGGGACAGAGCTCAGGCTTCTGTCCTCAGGGGCACCCCAGCCTTGTGAGAGCCCTGCAGGGATCGGAATGCCTGCTTTGGGGTACAGCAGTGAGTGAGGCAGAGGAGCATCCTGCTCCCGTAGTTTCATTCCAGTGGGGACCACAGGATGAATGTGCAAATCACATGGTATGTTAGGGAGAAAGAAAGAAAGAAGGGGAGGGAGTTCTGGGAAGGGAGTGATATGTTGAAGAGAGAAGGATCCTGGGGAAGAATGTTCCAAGCAGGGAACAGCATGTGCAAAGGCCCTGAGGTCAGGGCAGACTGCAACAGCGAGGAGGCCAGTGAAGAGTGAATGGGAGGGAGCAGAGGAGAGAGGAGTCCAGGGAGTGGAGGCTGGGTTGGGAAGGATTTGGGGTTTGACATGAAGTGAAATGGAGCCATAAGACCGAAGCAGGAGATGTGGGGTTAAGGTCATGACGTAGCTGAGTGCAAGTCAAAGGGAAACAACCTATGGAAATGTAGAGCCCCAGTCACCACTGTGGGGTCCCTGCAGTGCTGGAGAGGGGGGGTCTGTGACCTGACTCCCTGAGCTTGGCTGGATCTGGGACATTCCTGGACTGGACACCTCTTCTGGCCGCCTGCAGGTCCCGGGAGTCAGAGAGAGATCACAGGGACCGTGTTGCAGCCCTTGCCTCTTTGCTTCTGCGGTGCTATTGTCTGTTGAGGGAGTGACCTGCAAAGCCACGGCCAGCCTCGTGCCCCAGGGCAGGGTGGGGCAGGCCTGGCTGCACAGATCTCCCTGTCCTCCACCTCCTTTCTCCTGTTTCCCAGAGGCTGGAGGTCCAGCCCGGGCCCTGGTCCCACCCTCGGCGACCGTTCGAGAAGGCTACCTGCTGAAACGCAAGGAGGAGCCCGCTGGCCTGGCCACGCGCTTCGACTTCAAGAAGCGCTACTTCTGGCTGAGCGGAGAGAACCTCTCCTACGCCAGGAGCCCCGAGTGGCAGGTGAGGCTCCTGCTGCAGAGGATGGGGTCCCACCCCTGAGGAAAACTGAGGCTGTGGGTGAAGGGAGGGGAGGCCCTGGAGAGCCTTAAAAACCAAGCAACTCCAAACTCACTTCTCTCCCAGCTTGAGGCCCGTGTGGCACAGGACGGGGACAGGCCACCTCCCCCCCCCCAACTGGCTAGCATAACTTGACATTTTGTGCACCTCCCAGGTGTGCTCACACACAGGCATGGACACGGTTCCACCAGGTCTATGCTGCGTGCTACACAGACTCACCCAAGATGGGACACACTCGTCCAAGGCACGGGCCCAGCTGTGTGTCAACACATCCGGGCATTCATTCACTTATTCCCTGATAGTGACAACTTTCACTGGCCACAGCCAGGTGCTGTGTCCACCTTATCAACACCTTATCAGGGTCCAGGCACCAGTTCCCTGAGTTCCAATATGGGCCCCAGCACCTGAGTACCTTGGAACAGTCAACTATCCTCATGCCTCAGTTTCCTTACCTACAAATTGGGGAGAATTACAGACCCTGCCTCAGAAATTGGATGAGTTGATCAGTCTGTTGGGATGAGTCACATCCAAGCGCAGCTATGGTCAGGAGGAGGAAGGGGAAGGAATCAGGTCCACGGAGGTTGGGTCACTTAGCATGGGGCAGGACTGCTGGGACACCGAAGGACAGGCACACAGAGCGCAGATGCCCAGGATCGGATGTCCTGGGCCCTAAGGCCTCCATTGCCTCTCCCCAGGTGCGCTCCTCCATCCCCGTGTCGCACATCCGCGCTGTGGAGCGCGTGGACGAGGGCGCCTTCCAGCTGCAGCACGTGATGCAGGTGGTGACGCAGGACGGCGCGGGGACGCTGCACACCACCTACCTCCAGTGCAAGGTGAGGTCCCCCATCTCCTCACCCCCACCCCCACCCCCACCACGGCCTGACGCCCTCATTCCTTGCAGAATGTGAACGACCTCAACCAATGGCTGTCAGCTCTGCGCAAAGCCAGCGCCCCCAACCAGGACAAACTGACCGCCTGCCACCCTGGTGCCTTCCGCGGCGGGCGCTGGACCTGCTGCCTGCGGGCCGAGCGCTCAGGTGAGGGGGCGGGGCCGGCCGCAGGCTCCGCCCTCCACACCTGCCAATCAAGGGCATCCTGCTTCCGTCTAGGCGGGCTGTGCAACCTGAGACGAGTGTCTTAACCTCTCTATGCCTCAGTGGCTTTAGCTGTGAGATGGGGTGGACGGTAGCGCCTACCTTCCAGAACACTCTTTGGTACATAGTGTTAACTAAGTACGAGGTACTGTGGTTTTTTTTTTTTAAGTACCCACTGTGCACCAGCCGTCCAGGCAGCCTGCGCTTGTTCTCAAAGAAGGCTAGATAACTATTGTACTATTATCATTATCATTATTATTGCCCCTATCATTACGTTGGCGTGGGGGATGGAGTGCAGGGCCTCACTCATGCTAAGCAGTGCTCTACCACCGAGCTACACCCACAGCCTCAACCAGACAATTATAAAACGATGTTACAAGTGCCAAATGAGGCTTTGGAACTCCGGTGATCCAGCCCCAGGGGGTTAGGGAATCACAGGGGGCTTCCTGGAGGTGGTGCTGCTTCCTGTGGCGTGAGCGACGTGGAGATTGTGGGTGAGGATGCTATGGGCAGACCTGTGTGGTCAGGGGCGCTGGAAGACGGAAGGTCCCCAAGGCCAGAGCCTGGAATGGGGAAGGAGAATAGGGAGGGGTGAGCCATGGGGGCTGGGCAAAGTGGAGGCAGGGAGGAGGGAGGCCAGCTCAGGACCCCAGGGGAGTGGCAAGGAAGGTTCAGCAAAACTGGGGGGAGCTGCAGGCTCCGGGAGGGATTTTAGAGGCTGGTGAGCAGGGCATGGTGACACAAGCAGGAGGACTTCTTAATGAGGTGATGCTGTGTCCCTCAGCTGCTGGCTGCAGCCGTACACACTCGGCTGTCACCCTGGGGGACTGGAGTGACCCACTGGATCCTGACGCTGAGACCCAGATGGTGTACCGGCAGCTGCTCCTGGGGCGGGACCAGCTCAGGTGGGCGAACCCACTGGTCTGTTTCCTATGACCCCAGAGGTCAGGCCAGTGTGGCCTCCCTACGTTCTCTTAGTCATTCTTCAGCTTGTTAACTAAGCAGCCCGGGCGGGTGGGGGGCTGGGTATGAGGGGGACAGGGTCTGGGACGCGTTCTCTGCGGGTTCTAAGGCAGAGTTGATCTGGGTCTTTGAATACTTGGGGTTTGGGAGACACAAGCACAACTCATAAATGCTGGTCTCTTGAGTTTCCCTGTGACCTTCCCTTTCCTGGCCTGAAGATCACTGTCACCTAGTGACAGAGACCTGTCCCAGCCCATCTTACAGGGGGTTCTGCAGTGGCCTTTCCTGCTTTCAAATCCTGGGGTGCCCGTTTGCTGGCTGTGTGACCTTGAACAAGTCACTCCACTTCTCTGTACCTCAGTTCCTCATCTGGAAAGTGGGGATAACAGTGGTACCAGCCCCTTTGCATCGTCCTCAGGATCACACTGGAGCTAATCCAGGGAAAGCTCTTTGTAGCACATAGCTCACCTTCGATACAAAGTAACAGTTGTTATGCTGTGTGACATTAGGCAAAGTACTGAACCTCTCTGTGTCTCAGTGATTTGTGTAGAATAGTGAGCATGCAGGTTTCTTGGGATAATTAAATGAGCTAACACATGGAAAGGGCCTGGAGCAGGAGTTGGATCAGGACTGGAAATCTGAGGTTAGCCTTGTCTTTCTCCCTCTCGACTTCCAGGATGAAATTCCTGGAAGATTTTAACCCAGACACAGCCCTGGAGGCAGACGCTGGAAAGGACTCCATTACTGCCCACAGTAAGGCCGCTGTTCCCCTTTGCAGACCTATTCCCCAGCTTCTGGGCACAGCCTGTGTCCTCCAGCCTGCCCTCCTGTTCCCAGTCCAGCAGGAGGCCCCAGGGCATGGGTACATTTTGGGATTCTCAGGCACCAGATGAATCTGCAGTCTGAGAAAGCCACTGGGCCTGGGTGCTGGCTAGTGTGGGGGCCAGATGACTTCTTGTGTTCCCTGTCTCTTCCCAGGGGTCTGCCCTGAGGTCCTGGCCCGGCAGAGGGCAGCGGCTGCCCACCTGCTAGATGTGCTGGAGGATCTGGACCGAGCCCACGAAGAGTTCCAGCAGCGGCCCTAAGGAAGTGCTGGAACCAGCCTGGAGGGAGGAGCAAGTTGCTGGGGGGCCCTCCTCATCCCCGGCCCAGGAGTCTTGTGGCTGTCCTGTGCCCATTGATGCTGTGGCTTGGAAGTTCCCGGACCAGGCTTGGTGCTCAGTCCTGTGTGCTCTGAGTCCTGCTGGTGCATGGATCCCTGTGGCTGGGCCAGCTGTGCACTGAACAAGTCTCTCTCTGGATTGTCTGAGCCTTGAGTCTGCTTCATGGACTCAACTCTACTAGACCTACGAAGCCAGCCTGCCCCTGAGCTGCTGGATACAGCTGTCCCTGAAATCCTCATGCTCATGTGGTTGTGTTGCCCCAAATAGGCACTAAACGGGCTCAACCCTCCTGCTTTCATGTCGGTCAGTCCCTGTAGCCTCACTGATCCTTTTGTACCCTGCCCTTGGCTGAGGGCCCCAACCTTAGGCTTCCAGAATTGGGGGACCTTCAGGAAGGACAGGCCTAGAACCAAACATGCCAGACTCGAGCCTTGGAGCCCAAGAGGTCTTGGGCCAGGCTCTTCCCTCACCCCCTGTGCCTCAGTTTACCCTGTATAAAATGAGAAGGAAGTGAGCTTAGTTGTGTGGTTTTCAAACTGGATTCCATGTGGGTAGCTGAGGGAGCAGGGAGGGGCTGCTGGCACTGAGGTCCCAGGACCACCCCTTGGTTGTTTCCTAGAAATCAGACCCTGCCCAGCTATGGAATCAGAAATCTGAGGGTTTGTTTAGTTTTTGGCGGGACTGGGGTTTGAACTCAGCTCTTCATGCTTGCAAAGCAGCCACTCTTATGGCTTGAGTCATGCCTCTAGCCCATTTTGCTCTGGTTATTTTTGGAGATGGAGGGGGCAGGTTTCATGAACTATTTACCCTAGGCTGGCCTTGAACTATGATCCTCGTGATTGCAGCCTCCCTAGTAGTTAGGATTACAGTCGTGAGCCACTGGAGCCCTGGTGAGTGAGGAATCAGGGTTTTTCATCAATTCCGCAGGTGAGGGGAATGAACAAAAGCTCTGAAGTATCAGAGGCCTTGAACAAGGCAACTAGGGTCACACTAGGGTCTGGAGTGAGATTCGAGAATGAGGCACGGAGCAGGAAATGTTTGGCAACACCTGACTGGCTTTGTGTAACTAGAGGGTGGTGTAACCTGAAGCCTACCTGGTGGGGGTTCAAACGCAACCGGAAAGTCCACGGTGCTATTCCGCGAGTGGCCAGCAGGGCTCGCCTGGAGCCGCAGCAGCCACCTGTGCATCCTGGCTAACTGCAGAGGCTTGGATTTTAGCCATTTGACCCGGGGTCCGCCCATCTTTCCCTAGGCAAAACTTGTCTCTCTTCCCCCAGGGCAGGGACCGGAGCTCTGAGGTCTCCATGGGTGGACACAGTGGCTCCCAGCTCCTTTATATTTTCTGGAGTCACCCAGCCTGAGTTTCTTATTTCTTGTCATTGTGTCAGGGGCTCTTGTGAGAGAGAAGGCCATTGTCACCTGTGCATCCTTGGGGACTAGGAGGGTCTGCCTCTTCTCTGCCCGCTCCAGGGCATTAGAATTACAGGGACCCTCCAGGGCCTCCCCAGCCACCCAAGCCAGTGACCCTGAATCACATTTTTTGGCAGGAAAAGACCCGGCGAGGAGGAGAAAGACCATTTATTTCTCCACCCACAGTGGGACTGGTAGGTTTTCAAAAGAGCAATCGCTGGCGTCCCTTTAAATCTTGGCTGACTTCCACCAAGGCAGCCAATTCACAGAGGCGGGCTGGTGAGTTGCCTGGGCAACAGGCCCCTGATTGGCTGGAGATTATCCTCTGCCACCCACTGCCCACTCCTAAGGAGAGGGGAGTTAACTCTTTGATGTCCGTTCTCCTTTTCCAATGCACAGGCCTGAAAGAGGCCTCCTCCTCTTGCTCCTGGAGCCAGAAGCTAGAAGTTAACAGCCTTTGGATCTCAAAGTTGGGAGCGATTTGGTGGAGAGGATGGGGAGGGAATGAAGAAAAAAGTGTCTTTATCTGGGGTAGACATAAGGCCGGGAGATGGGACAGGAGGAGGAGGGCAGGGTCCCAGAGGGACAAAGAGACAGACACAAGCACAAAACAAGATACCTCTCCACCCCTCTCTCTCCAGCCCACCCAGTGTAAAAAGCTAATCTGAGGGCCTCCACCCCACCAGCTTGCAGTGCCCAGTAAGTGGGAGGCAGAGATGACACAAGGAGGGTGAGGCATAAGGGGGAGACAGCGCTCCCCTAGTCCTCTGTCCCCTGGGAGTCCCATCAGTGCTGAACCTGAATCCTAGGGGCAGACAAGCTGTACAGATGTGACAGGGACATGGATGGACTCCACGTGGGGTGTCACAGGGGTCTTTCTGTCTCTTCTTTCCCAGTCTGGGAGAAAATAGAGGCACATGGGTGTGCGTGCGTGCGTGTGTTCAACAGGACACGTGTGTTCGTGTGTGAGGGGTGGGCGCTATCTTTTTGGTAGGGCGGTCTCTGTGGTTTCCAGCCCTCTCTCTGTGACCTTTTCAGGGACTTTCTGGTCCGAGCTGGCTGGCCTGGTGTTTTCCTGTCACCCCAACTGCCACCAGCCAGGTCCCCTGAACGGTTCCAACTCCTAAAAGCTCCTCCACAGCCCTCGATCTGGGCCACCAGGGGCACACCTGGCAGAGGGAGGCGTGTGCCGGACCAGGGGCAAAGCGGAAGGGAAGGTGAGAAGGTCAGGTCTCAGGCCTTGGTCGCAGCCTCCAACACACCCTGGGCGGTGAGCTCAGCCAACACATTGTCTAGGTAGCTAGCATCCGGGTAGCCATGGCCCGTGAGGTTGGAGCCAAACTCCGTTTTGTGATGGATCTCGTTCCACACCACGGTGTCCGACTCACCCGTGGTGTTGGACGTGCCAATGGTGAAGATGAGTCTTCGCTCCCAGGCCGTGATAAGTAGCCTCAGAACCTGGATGGGGCAGACAGGGTGGGGGTGGGGCAGAGGTCAAGGGCAGCTCCCCCACTCCCACCTCCACTTCTGTGCCTCCAGCTGCCTGCTTCCCTCCTCTGGACTGCCGAGACTGCCAGTGCCTATTAAATCCTGAAGAGTTTGGCATTTCCTTTTCGATTATACTTCCTGGGTTTATATGCCTCTGAGCTCTCAGGGGAAGCTCTTTTCAAATCCTCTGTGTCTTCTGGGCTGAAGAGAGAGTCTCGAACTGACAGCCCTCAGCTGCACTTGGTTTGGACCCTATGGAGTATTAAGTAGCCCTTTCTGAATTAGTTACCAAGACTGAAAATCCCAGGGACTTCAGTGAAAATCTGGCTTCTCTTGAAAATAAAAGGTAAAAACCAGACAACCTACAGGGTGATAGTAAAGGGCTTCGACTACGTGGGTTCAAATCCCAGCTTTACCACTTAGTCACCCTCTCTGAAATTTCACTTCTTTATCTGTGATGACCCAGCTAGACCTCAGCAGCCTGGTCAATCAGATGAAATGTGCAAAAGGAGGTGGTGGTGATCAATGCTTGTTGGGGATGCAGGGATTGAGGACAAAAGAACCACAGGCTCAGGCTGACAGCGGCTGGGGTCCTGCCCGCGTCCATTGCCCTGAGCCCTGGTGGGCACCCACCTTCCGTCCCTTCTCATTGTTGGGCAGATAGCAGTGACGCGGGAAGCCTCTGGCGGTGAACTTCTTCCCCGGGTTGGGGTGCTCAGGGCCCTGTGGGGGAGCAGCAGGAGCTAAGCCACACATGGGGCTGGGGGCATGGAGGGGCCAGAGGAGTTGGGTGGGGGTCAGCGGGGCACACCTGGATGCCCGTGGGGATGTCGTAGACAATACGGATGGTTTGGGTGTCAGCGAAACCCGGCAGCGAGTGGGGAATGAGGTGGAATTCCATCTTCCCGGGTGGCTGAGTCCCCGTCTTTTCCCCGTAGATGGCCTTGCAGGTGGGACACTGCAGGCTGCCATCCTGGGGAGGGGGAAGCTGGAGGTAAGCCCCCAGGTGTCCAGTCCCCACCTGGCCCCCTGGTCACTTCCCACCCACTGCCCGGCTTGGCCCACCTTGTTGCCATTGGAGTACATAGCCACGAGGCACAGCAGGTGGTACATGTGGCCACAGCGGCCCAGGCGACCCACAAGCTCTGGCCGTACACCCTTGTGCTGCAGTACGCCCTCATAGCCCGACGCTGTGACCAGACGCTCCATACAGATGGTACAGTCCTGGAGAGGCCACAGGGGACACTGAGGAGGGAGGGACACCTCCAGGGTCAGCACTGTCCCCAGGTGCGGCTGGCAGCAGACCATCCTCCACCCCCCAGGGAGACCATCCTCTCACCCACTTGGCAAAGGGAGAGAGGAGCCCCATTTGAATTCAGATAAATCACGGAGGACAAAGCGCTCCCTCCCACTCCACCCGTCAGCTGGATTAAAGGCAACACCTGAAAACATTTAGTGGAGGTGAAAAATGGAATGGGAAACTGTCAATCATCCAAGATTGACAGCCGTGACTGTAGACACCTCAGCATTTCTGTTCAGCAAAGGCCTAGCGGAGAGAAACTGAAGGCGAGGACAGCGTCCACTGCCCGGGGGCCAACAGGAATCGTCCTGGGGGCGGGGTGGGGCTCACCTCATCAGGTGGGTTTTTCACCTTTTGCATGTACCTTCGAACCACATCCTCGGGGTTCTTACCTGCAGGGACAGGGCAGGTTGGAGGGTACCCAGAGTCCACCCTGAGGGTTCGGATAAGGATGGGGTCGGGATGTGAGGGCTGGAGTGAGTCACAGGGGTAGGCGGAAGGTGTAAGGGGGGCGGGACTGTGCAGGGGAGGCAGGCGTGATGGAAAATCCTAAGAACGAACTGGGGTTCAGGGTCGGGAGGGTCGCACAACGCGTACTTTTCTTGAGGTGCTTCTTCTTGGTCTTGCGGCACACACCGGGCACGCCAGGCACGGGCTTGACGTCGCTCTTGCTCACGGGCGGCGGGTGCAGGATGGGTTTGGGGGCGCGGGTCAGACACACTGGCAACCCCGCAGCGCAAAGCAGGATCCCGGTCATCCCTGGGGGCGGGGCGGGGCGTCATCACTGGCCGCGCCCACTGCATGCACGCCCTCACATCATTAGTGTATTGATAGGGCCTCTCCCTAGGGCCACGCCCCTTCCCTCAGGACACCTCCCAAGACCACGCCCACACCCATGTGGGTGGGGCTCCCGGCCCCGCCCACTCAACTCCACCACCGGTTGAGGCCAAGTGAATCCAGAGCTAGTGGCCACGCCCACCAGATCGTCACGGGGCGGAGTCATGGGGCTGACGGGCGGGGTTTCCTCTCGTAGGCCCCCCCCCGCCCCCCCTCCCCCGGCCTGAGCTGGACCTCACCTGCCAGGGCAGGGTGTACTGGCCCGGTACCATTCAAATTCTTCACTGGGAGCGCGGGGACCCTGCGGGGGTAAGAGAAGAGGCCGCAGCTGGACTCCAGCCCCCAACCCTACATCAGAGGACCCTGTTTTTCCTTGTCTATAGCACGCCCCATCTCTCTGTGCCTGTCAGCCAGAATCCAAGTAAAATGTTCTGAAATCAAATAAATTAGGAAACACTTCACCTACCCGAGCACACGAAAGACTGTAAGTCCTGCACAAGAACATAAGGTTACCAATAGTAAATCCAGGTGTCCGAAGACTTTTTTGTTGTTGTTCTGTTTGAGCCTAGGCTCGCCTGGAAATCGCAATCCTCCTGCCTCAGCCTCCCAAGTGCAGGGATTACAGCTGTGTGTCACCACACTGGTCTTCCGAAGATATTTGATGGTGAACATTTCTTCCCTTTTTGTAATATTTACTGACATCAGATTTTGTGCCTAAGGCATTGTCCCCACCTCAACTGAAGAGACTGTGGGAAAGTTCCCTCTGGTTTTTGGAGTCAGCCAGAGTTGTTTTCGTTTCTCACTTCAACCACTGACCTGCTGGTTGACAGTATGCTTTGAAGCCTGCTTCCCATCTGTAGAACGGGGGTGATGGGGTATCTGTTTTTTGTTTGCTGTGAGAGTCACTGAAAATCTACTTTTCAAGGGCGGAGCACAGTCATTCCCAAAGCTCCCTCATCATTGGCATCACCGTCATGGTCAGCTGTGTCTCCTAGCCAAGCAATTTTCCTGAAATGCATGACAGCCCCTAGGTCATCATGTGACTTTTCTTGTCTCAGACAGGAAACCGCGAAAGTGTTGCATGGTCAACCCTAAGCAGGTCACTGAACCTTTCATCCTCAATTTCCTCCTCTGTGAAATGGGGTGACCGTGCCTCTCACCCAGGGTTGCTGGGGAGACAGCTCAGGGCTCCTGAAGTTGGCTTCTTCAGGGCATGCATGTGCAGGTGGGAGCGTCCTGGGGGTGCTCTGGACACCTGAGGAGCCCAAAGAGCTTGGGGACACACCTGCACGGGTGGGGGAGGGGAAGGAGTAGTGACAGTTGGAGATGGGGCCACTGCAGTCCCTTGGCTGCCTGCTGAGATCTGAATCTGGCCAGTGTTGCTTGGTCACTTGTCCCGAGCAGACACAGGTGGCACTGGGGAGCTGCTGGGTACATTTTCCAGCAAATGGTGCCCTTGGCAGGCTGGGGCACCCTGTAGTGGGTTAGTATGCCCCCCAACACACACACACACACATGTTCTTCACACAAATACACAGATTCAGATGTTCATACATGGAGAACATCATATAAACATGAACCCCCAAGATCACACCATACATATATCTACAGAGGCACAAACACCCTCTCCCAGGGAACACAGAACAGGTATGCGCACACATACCAGGAAATCCCTTTCTCTAATCATATACAAACACAGTCAGGCACATATCTGGGGGAGATAACACATACCAGGGAATGAATACCATTGAAAACACATACACAGGTACACAAAGGCAAACTCCAGGGCTGGGCATGGAGGAACACGCCTGTAATCCCATCCCAGCAGTCTGGGCTGAGGTGGGAGAATCATGAGTTCCAGTCAGCCTGGGCTACAGAGCAAGACCCTGTCTCAAAAAAAAAATTTTTTTTAAAGGTGGTGGCGTGTCCCTGTGATCCAAGATACTCAGGAGGCATGGATAGGAGGAATGTGGCCCAAGGCTAGTCGGGGCAAAAAATTGAGATGCTATTGAAAAATAACTAAGGCAAAAGGGGTGGGCACGTGGCTCAGGTGACACAGCAACCTGTCTAGCAAGCATGAGGCCCTGAGTTCAAACTCTAGTATTGTGAAAAACAAAACAAACAAACAGAAAAACAAAAAGAAAGAAAGGAAAAGGACACAGTCCAGGGAACCCTGCCTCCTGTGTACAGACACAGAGACTGGAGCACACACAGATGCACTGGGATAAAACAGTTGGCAAACAGAAGCCAGCTGATTTGGACCACGGCTGCCCCTCCAAGCCACCCGGTGTGGGAACACAGATGGCATATTTGGAGGGAGGTACACTTAGCCCTGGATACACTGCTGTAATCTGCAAAGGGACCCACCATCACACATGGGGACACACAGACACCCTAGTTTACACGGCACTCGGAGACACACTCAAATGCACTGCTCACAGCACACCTGGGGACACGGGTATGGGGTCTGACCCACACACAGATGCTTGCTGCAGGAGACCCCACTTTGGATCCACAGTAAAACGTGCTCACCAGGCAGGTTTACACCCGTGGGCCAAGGCACCACCCCAGGTCCCCCTAAGGGCCACCAGGGGCCTGGAACAAACATTGGGGTCTATCCCTGGGGGGGGGGGTCACTGAACAGTGCTCTTGAGGGAGGTGAGATGGGAGGACAGAGACCCCGCAAGTGGAGGTGGGATGAAAGTCTGGTGCCTCAGTTTCCCCTTCTGTGATGGGGATAAATTCTTATTTGGGTTAAGTGAGTTACAACAGATGAAGCTCACAGTGAGAGTGGAAAGGTCTTTGATTTTCTCTCCCTGTAGCCTAATGGGGCACATAGCAGGAGGGACTCTGTCATAAACTGCAGGACTTTCCTGGAAGGCCACCACCACCCTAACTTCATCCCTCCTCAAACTTCACAGGACAGCAGAGACGTTTTCTTTTTTCTCTGGCCTCTCCTCTCCCCTGCCCTGTTCTGCAAATCCGCAGTGTAGACACCAACTGGGTTCCTCCATGTATGTAGGGCGCCCCACCTCCTCTTCCCTTCTGTCTCATGAGAAGAAAACTCCCCTTTTCTATCCAGAAAGTCAATGGAAGGAAAAGTATTCAGCATGCATACCACAGCCTCTTGTCTCCTGTCTGTGGCAGACATTACTCATCAACCACAGCACTGTCCCAAGCTGCAAGTCCCAACATGGCTGTCCAGACAGCATCCATCAACCAGGAAGCCATTTTGCTCCATTAGGTCTCTACAATACCCCAAAGTCTGGTCCAACTGAGGCAGGCAGGCCCCTGGTCTTACTCAGCCTTTGGCCTGGGAGCTGGGCAGTGGGACCCCAGGAACGTTTGTGATCTCGGTGCCATAACATTTCTGGGACACCTCCTTTTTTGGACATTACTTCGGTTTAAACTCGGGGCCCCATGATTGCTAGCCAAGTGCTTTACACTTGAGCCTCACCTCCAGCCATCTTTCTGCATTACGAAAATCAGTTTGGCTCCCCAAGGTAGAGGGTAGTAGTGAGGTGTGACGGTGGGGCTGTTTTTAAGTCACCCATTGGTGAGCTAGGGGGACGGTCCCAACGCGGCCCCTGGCTGGCCTCTCTCAATCCGCAGGTCGCCTGGGAGAACGTTGGGCGGCAGAGTTCCCATGAGGCTGAGTGTGGGAGCCGCCAGGGGCCCCTTTTGATGTGGGATACACCGCTTCCTGCAAGGCACTGAGAACATCCTTTGTTGCCTGCAGGCCTCCTGGAAGGGGGTTTGGCCTTCATCACTGCCCTGCTTATGGGGACTGGCCTGGCAGAGGGTCTGAGGAATCCTTCGGGTCCCTTAAAATCTGCTTGATCGGACCAGAAGCCAAGTTTGGCTTCCTTGGGGCAGGGATTTATCCTGCAGTCATGCTGGTCTCTCTGCTGCCTTTCCCAGCCCTGTATCAGACCTGCCTGTCCTCTGTTCTCAGTCCTCCCATGGCTCCCACCTTGTTCAGAGTAGCACCTGACCATGTAATCAGGCCCCTACCTGTTCTTTCAACTTTATTTCCTGTGTGTGATCCTTCTGCCCACTCCACTCCAGCCACCCCGATCTCCCTATGGTTCCTCAAATGTGCCAGGCAAATTTCCACCCGATGCTCTTCTCTAGATACTGGGTGCCCTCACTTGACACAGATCTCTGCTCAATGTGACCTTATCACAGAGACTGCCCTAAACTTTAAAGTAGTCCCTTTCTTTACTCTACTTACTTTTCTTTTCATTGAACTATCACTGATAGAATAAGTCTGTAAGGATGGCCAGGCCCTGTGTCTCATGTGTCCTATCCCTGCCTCGTGACTTTACCTCTCATGACCTCCACCCGTCTCCTCCAGACACCTCAGCCATTCCTCTAACATCGGGGCAGTACCCCCTTTCGGTCCCCTGCTGTGCCCTCCTCCTGAAAAAACTGGCTGTCTGCTAGGTCTCAGCTAAAGTGACACCTGGTTGGAGAGACTGTTCCTGACCACCTGACGACCACCCTCAAAGCTGGCACACAGAAGCCCTTTTGCATGAACACGTGAAGGTGGAAGTGGGTTTTGTGAGGGGCTGTAGGCTGATGACTCCTGGACACAGGGTCCCTGGATCCTTCTGCACACACTGAAGTAAACTGTGAAGCAGGCGTTGTGGACACCCCACCCCTGCAGCACCCAGGCTCCAGGGGCCCTTTGCCAACACACATCCTAAGGTGAGCACACCACAGATGCTTCCTGTAGAACAGCCCAGCAGACTTCCTCTGAGATGCTCCCCACAAACGCCACTCCATCCAACTCGGGTCAGGAGCCTCATGGGAAGGCTTCAGGGAAGCCTTCCACATCTCTTACCATAGCTTAGAGACTGAAGCAGAAAGCTCTGATTTTTAGGGTTTTTTGGTAGTACTGGGATTTGAACTCAGGGCTTTGCACTTGTTAGGCAGGTGTTTTGAGCCAAGCCTGCAGCCCAGGAAGCTCCAACTGAAAACAAAACAAAACAAAACAAAACTCCCAGGATTAGTGTGGGAAGGAGGGAGGGGAAGTATGGCTCCTTGCAAAGGTGCTTTGCACTTGCTCTGGCTGGACAGCCATGTTCACAGACAGGGGAAAGGATGCAGAGAGTCTTTCCACTTGCTGTCCCTCACACTGTTCCCTGCACTTTTCTGTCTGCCTCTTCTATCCATTCCTAACTTATGTCTGTCTTCAGGCTTGAAGGTCACTGTTGCACAGGCTCTTTGACGTGACTAAAGTGTCTCCTGTCCTCTCCTTTTAATCCACAAGGGACTGTGTTTACCTTTTTTCAGGAT